ATTGACCTAATGGAAAATGACCAAAGCAAAGAAATGGCCATGGCAGTCACCCTGAAACCTTACAAGGCCTCTGGTGGCCAGAAGGAGGCAAAAGCTCAGGCCGAACGTGTCCATGAAACAGTGAAACAGTTGGACTCAAGGGCTGGCCTCTCAGGCCTGCAGCCCAAAATTGAGAGAAGCTTGACCTCTCCTTAGACCTCTCAAACTCAGACAGGGGCTCAAGCTGAATCAGCCAAATCAGCTGCCCCCACAATCAAAGGCCTTAACCCCAGTCAAAGGGGCAGTGGAGACTCCGAGGAGGAGTCTGAACCCACTCAAGCGCCTTACACTTTTCAAGGTAAAAAACAAACAAACAAAAAAACTGAAAGCTTTGTCAATGCCTACCAGTTGGTCAGAGCATTGGAAAAAGAAAGGCAAATCCGCCTAAAAATTCGAATTGCCAGAGATGAGGGCATGATCATCATGCCCAAGGATCAAGCCACCCTGTTTCCTGCAGGAAACTAAGGTGCTCTAAGATGGGAGAAAAGTGAGTATCTCACCACTGATCTCCCAAGAGAAACGAACTGAGATGATGCTACCTGGTTTTCCACTAGGGTTTGATGTGGAGGTGATCATGTCACTCCCTCAGGTGGTGGACCCTTCCTGCCTATCTAAAGGGAAGTTCCCAACCAGGCAAGTCCTGGTCACCCTCTGTCACCACCTTTGATTTGGGTAACTGGGGCAAGTACAAGCTCAGAACATGCGTGCCAGAGCCATCGAGGTGCTTCACGTGCCAAAAGTTTTGGCACCAACAGGCCAACTGCAAGGCCAAAGCCAAATGTGGTGTGTGTAGCAAGGCACACGAAACAGAAGTGTGTATCAAGGCACACAAAGATGGCAAGAGGGACACAATCGCCAAATGTCCCAAATGTGCCAAGAGGCATCATGCCTGGAGCCTGGGGACAACAAAAGGGAAAAGACTCCCCGACCTCCTAAGAGGAAGGAGACACCTTCCCAGCCAGTGCCGGATACCTCCAACCCAGAGTAGTTTCCCAGGCTTGCTAGTGGTCGCAAAAAGAACCAAAGGAAGAAACGTTCAAAGCACAGCAAAGTCCTCCCCAGCAGATGAAAACCTTTTCTTTGACGACGATATGACTCTCCTGTTGAGTGCTGTAGTTTCTGCAGTAGCAACAGCCTTGGGGAGGACTAGGGAGGAGGCGGAGAAGGCAGTCCAGGTTGCCATGACAGCAATGACCCAGAAGCCCTGAAGGCGAGGAAGCTGGAAGCATCCAAACCAAGTCAGAGCCGCGCTCCCCTCTCAGTTACCACCACAAAACAATGTTTTAATGGCAGGTTAGCTTCAGGAGACACATCTGTTTCCCCAAATGGGAAACAGATAAGGCCAACTGGCAAGCCTTCCAGAAAGGCTTGGCCCACTATCTGAAAGACTGAACCCCAAAACAATGAAAATGTGGACGTGCTTGAGGTAAGACTAGTCCAGGCCATAAATGAGGCAGCATCACAAACCATACCTAAAACTCGTCCATGGTCCAGAACTCACAAAGACACCTGATACTATAATGACGAGATCAAAGAGGTCAAACACAGAGTTAACATGTGCAAAAAAAACTTCCGACGGCAAAGAACTCCCGACAACCTAGCCCTCCTGAGGGAAGTTGTTGCGGATGCCAAGGAAACTGCCAAGGTAGGAAAAATGGCTTGAATGGTGCCAGTCCTTTGGCCACCAGACCAGCCTTACAGAGTTGTGGAAGCGGATCAGGCGAACGACAAGCCGCCAAGCCCCGAAATGCACGCATCATTACCCACAGTCAGAGGCGCACAGGCTGGTGCTCGAGTTCTCAGCTAGAACCAGCAGCAACAACCTGCCTCCTGTGCTGAGGGATAAACAACAAAGCCTAAATCCAGTCAGGCTTCCTCTCATCAGAGACAAGCACCAGATGACAGATGCCATGTTCTCTCTCAGGGTACTAAGAAAAACATACAAAACCAGCTCTGGATCAGCACCGGGATCTGATGGGATCTCCCACCCCATCATCTCGCACTTAGGAATTGCAGGGGAGTTTGTATTTTTGCAGCTCATCAACAAATCCTGTCAAACTGCCATGCTGCCCCAGAGCTGGAAACAAGCCATAATAGTTCCCATCCCAAAGCCAAAGGAGCCAGGCAGGTACCGTCCCATCTCTCTCCTCAGTTGTCTGGGCAAAACAGCCGAGATGGTACTAAACAGGCTCCGCTGGAAAATGGGACCCACTCATGAACACCTGCACGGGTTCACATGGGGTAAAAGCACAGCCCACAGCATATCCACACTCCTAAGCTCAATAAGCACCACATCCTCTGTGGTTGTCTTCCTAGACTTGGAGAAGGCTTTTGAACTGGCAAGTCCCCTTGCCATTCAGGAGACCCTAATCCATAAGGGAATCAAAGATAGACTCTTGACCTGGATATCTGACTATTTTAAAGACAGAAGAGCAAATGTCAGAATTCAAGGTCACCTCTC